CTCCAGTGTTTGTTTGTCTTGGTGCTAATTCATGTTTGCACAGTGCTGGGCCTGCTTTCACTAACAGGCTATAGATTTTTCTCTCTATTGTATACTTGGGAAAGTCATTTTTTGTAACGTCTTGAAACTCTTTCTGTTCTAAGTTAGACTTCCTTGTGAGAGCTGCAGCAGGCGCTTCTGCAGAGCAGCCTCCAGAGCGTCCCTTCGACTTCCTGGAGGTATGGATTATTAGTTAATGTTTGGCTAACCACGGCATCTTGGAGCCCCAGTCACGGACCCGGATCTCATTGTGCCAGGCGCTGGACAAACACAGGAAAAAAAAGGCAGTCCCTACCCTAAAGAACTCAGTCTAAGTAGAAGACAAGAGAGAGCTGATGGAGCCAGACAGAATGTGAGCACAAGGCTAGCAGGACGGACAGTGGTTGTGCAACACACCAGCTATGTCATGTGTTAAGGTTATTGTTGGCATCACAGCAAATGAGAGTTAAAGAGGGACGTGTTGGGGGAGGGGGCACTCGTGTTCCCGTTTTCAGAGATGCCGTTCACTTCAGATTCATTCGGAGAGTGAGTTGCTTGAGGGATAGTGGCCAGCGGCTCAGAGTTAGATACCACAGAGATGGGCTTGCTACGAAGATGCAATTCGACACGTAGTGCTGGAGAGGAGTGAACAGAACCTCATGGCTACATCCTCGTCACAGCAAACCCTTCCGCACGGGGCCCTCTCCAACCAGCACCACCCCGGCCCAAACAACCTCAGTGATCCGAAACTCAGATGAGCAATGTGTGCTGGCTGAGGACTTTCAAGTTTCTTTGCCTTCTCCAAGTGAACACCCAAGGACCGGGCCCTTTCCCGCTGACCTTGTGGAGTAGGACCTCACCTGGTGGGAACCCGGGCCTGGAGAATGTGAAGAGCAGGGATTCCGTCACAACCATGGGGAAGAATCTCGGGGGCCAGGTCAACAGCTTCTTCTTGTATAAGGTGGGTCGGTTGTTAGAACCTGAAATGTGCTCGCTCGGGGCTTTTAGCACGGCCACCCCAGGCTGTGACGGTTTGGGTAAGAAACCTGAGCTCAGAAGTACGGTGTGGCGCAGAAGGAGCATCCTTTAGCTTAGTCACGGCCATGTTAAAGTCCCAGGACCAATGGGGTTGGGTAGTTTAATAAAGGGGGCAGGGCTTCAAATGTGTCACGTCCCACCTGATCTTGTCTCTGGGCTGCAGAGACGCTTGTCTGCTTCCTCTGCTTTATGGCCAACTGACATGGCTGCCAAATGAACATGACATTCATCTCCAGTGCTGCTCTAGACACGTGCCGAGGATCAAGCTGTTTGTGGGGCGTGTTTGTTATGCGATCTGCCTGGGCTTGTGCGCAACATGCCATAAAGCTTTTCCATTTAACATTATCCGGGCTGTGTGGAAGGGGTATTCGAGGCACCTGCTTAGCGAGGACATGCCCAGGAACCGCTGTCCTTGGCCAGGAGCAAAGCTGGCATGGCGAGGGGATCCTAGGTTGGGATGAGACGTGATCTAGTTCCTGCGACCAGACTCGGAGCTGGACACCCCCAAAGTGTCATGGACACGTGTGCTGTGTGTTACGCTCCTGTGCCAAAAACGCGTCTCATCCAATCATGGACTAGAAACATCACCAAGTGCCAGAGGTGAGCCAACCGCCACTAGTGGGCGTGAGCGTTCAGTGAGCAGCCTTGAGGTGGCAAACGGTCAGAAAACACGTGCCCACTAAGTGCGGTCGAAGGGAACTAGGCTTGGTTGGCACCAATTTTCTAGCTGAAAAGGGAATAGAATTGAAAGCACACGATGAGCCTTGAAATCAAAGCAGCACGAGTCCTACCGAGTGGCAGTGTGGGCTAGTGGGTAGAGGACAGGCCTAGACCTGGGGGACCTGGCTCTATTCCTGGTGCTTTCCACCCAGCCACTCGGTGTGGATCGTGTCAATTTCGTCTGTAAGTTCTTGGAGACAGAGACTGTCTCGTCCAATGTGCGTGGACAGCGCCTAGCACAGTGGAGCCCCGATCTCGGTTCGGGCCCCACGGGGCTACTGTTCTGCAAATAAATCCCACGTTTCGGGTTGAAGCTGAATTAGGTATTAAATACCAATGAGACCCCATCAGCGACCAGAGCTCCACGGCTCTGAAATCCTAGCCGGCTCCCTGTTGGATTGTCCAGCCAGCTGGTAACTTAGACCTGTGGTCCTAGGCACATGAGCCACCTGGAAAGAGGAAGAAAGATGGTGGCGCGAGGAATATGCTCCGGCACATAAATCACTATCAATCACTTCCCCTGCCCTCCGGGGAGCCTTCCAGACATTAACTGGGTAATTGCTTTCTGCTGCTACTCACTGGCCCTGTGTCTATGGATTGCAGGCATCATTAGAGACAGCGGGGTTTTCCTTTCCCTAAGGCAATTTGTGCAGTGATTAAATCAGCTTGGAACGAAACCTAAAGAGGGGAGAACATAGCTCCCCCTTCGGCTAACTCCCCAAAGACCCTCACCGCACAGTGCCACGTGCTACAGCGGCCCTGTCTAGTCCACACTGGGGAGCCGCGTTGTTGAATTAGAGTTAATGGCTTAGCAGCAGAGAGCATCGGCGCTTGAACAGCCCATGCTGGTCCCATCAAGCCAATTAGAAGCTGCTATGTTTGTTTGACTTGACACAATTCAGACAAGGGGAGCAGAGAGCTCTTGGGATTCGGGCACCGCAGCCGGGTTGAGAAGACTCTCCACTCAATTGCTGCTCTGCTCTGGACTCCTGGTGTGACCTTGGGCAAGTCCTTTAACCGCTTTCGGTCTGGCCGCACTGCGCTGTAAACCCAGGTCTGTGGGACCCAGGCGTGGGGACTCAGCGTTTCCAAGCCTACGCTTGAGCGTCCACCCTGGGCTTACACGTGCTGGGCCCCAGTCTCACCGCTGTGCTAACACATCCATATGGTGCTACGCCGACCTTCTGACTCGGGGCTGCAGCTTGAGCTGCGTCCACACTGCAAAATGGCCGGGCTTGGGCCCGAATCACAACAGGACTCTGGTTCTGACCCACCCTCCTAGTAGGAGCTTGGACCTGGGTCCTAAGTGTGTGGCTGAGCTGAGTCAGTAACCTGTGTGTGGACAGAAGGGGGGTTGGACTCAAACCTGAGGCCGCATCTGGGCTTAGTGTGCCATGTAGCCACACCCTGTGTTCCCCCAGGAGAGTCCATCTTTCACAGGTGTGTTGTGAGCGTAGACTGTAGACAAGAACCGGCCATCGCTTGCTAAGTACTGCTGACCTGGGCTGGATTCAAACTCCCAACCCGCTGCCGTGAGTTCTCATCAGCGCATATTGCTCGGGCATCGTAGGTGCCTTCGAGTCGCTCGCGGGATCCTGGATTCAACTCCCGATGGCGTGTCAGACTAACGAAAGCTTCGCCTCTGACCAGAGCTTCAGCCCCACATGCTGCGAGTTGAGTTCAAACCTGCTTCCCCGTGGCCAGTGGTTCTCAACCTCCTGCCTTGCTAGGACCTGCTGTGATAACTGGTTCTCCTATACCCTACAGGTGAGCGCCACTGCAAGAACCAAGTGACAGGTCATAAAATGTCCCCAGATCCTGCTTCTCAGCCCATTTCCCATTGTGGGCCGCATCTGCAGCTCTCTGTGTGTTATGTGGGCCACATACTACCAGTTTGGCCCTGAGGAGGTCACATGGGCCGCAGCTGTGTGCTGATTGGGCTGCGGGTTGAGAACCACTGACCTAGACCAATACACGTCAATGGGAAAAGGTACAAAAGGGAGCCAGGAGAAGTGAATTCGTTCTGACACAAAGGCCCATTGATGTAACTCAAGGACACTGTTAAGATTATGGCTCGTATACAAGAGAGGTTGGGGACCGGAAATCAGTGGAGCAAAATTGGTGTGTGGGAAATTAGGCCTAATTGCTGGACAAAATAATGAAGGGACGGGCTCTCCTGCCACCAGGTCCTTGTGACATCCTGAAAGGAACACATTTGTGGGAGAAAAATCAAGCAGCAGCTGTCTGACAACTGCTGGCCAGGAGATGGGTGGACAGGAAGGCGTGAGCTTTACTATCATGGCGGCATGGTCAGGATCCGCTGATTCACCATTGGGTTGTCGTTGTCCCGACCAGACCGGACCAAGTGCAGGACCCAGAGGGCACCACCACCTCCACTGGCTAAATCCCAGACACCACCTGGGATGTCAGACTGTCAAACCCCTTCCTCTCATCTCCCGGGTGTGTTTTTTCCTGTTTCCTTCTGTCTAATCAGAGCTTGGCTTAGCCGGCCAAGACTATATTGTGCAACGGTGCTGTGAGCCTGTGAGCAGAAAGGCGGTAAAAGCAGTTCCCTAACTAGCCCGATGCGGGGACAAGTTTGCCAGGGCTCGCAGTGGCTGATCAGGCAGTGAGCTCGCCAGTGAAAGGCAGCCCCAGAGCCAGAAGCTGTGTTGTGTCTCCGCTGTTCTTTTCTCTCCCTCTCCCTCTCTTGTCTTTTAGCAAATCGGCTTGGTCTTTAACAACCACCACAACAGTGACCGCTCCAGCCCACCTCAACTAACATCCTCTCTGTTCCCCAAACGGAGGGGTAGCATCGTCTTTGGTCCCACCTAGGAGACTGTCAGACAAGGGGCTGAGGTCTCCATACACCCCACCCCGAACCTTGTTTAAAACTTTAGTGCCAAGATCCTCTGGGCCCATGTATTCCAACTTAAAACAACAGGCCTCCGCTCCCTCCCCCACATGAGCCCTCTCTCCTTCGCCTGGGCCCCGCCTCCCCTTCGGCAGCATGGGCAGAGCGGCGTGGGTGTGATTCCTTCACACCTGCTGGTGACCTCCATGTTAAGAACACCTGCTCCGGGTTGAAGACGGCAGCTTAGTTCTTCTTTCAGAGCACAAGGGCGAAAGCAGACCTGCTCTCACCGCTGCTTTAACTCCGTTCCCCGCCTCAAAAGCATTCCCCCGCCCCTGGCTGCAGAAGAGTATAATGGTTTATTTTGATTTCCATCACATAGCATACTTATCTGAAATACGGGATAAAGGCCTCACTAGTGCCACAGATCCAGCCATAATGCCTGGTTCTTACACCTGGGAGGGGGAGGGGGGGGAGGTTTACATGTGATATATAAAAATAAAAATTTGGGTTTACAAAAAAATACATATACTTATCGAAAGGAGCCGTTGTCACCGGTCACCATTGTTTTCTCCCTAGGCACACGCCCTGCCAGTAATCTACAGATCAACTGGTATCAACTCCCCCTTCTTCTGCCCCGACGGAGTCTGTCTGTGGTCACTTTGGCTGAGCGGGGCCAGGAAAGAGGTTCCTGACCTTTAACTCCTGGGTAGGGACTAGCCAGCCAGGAGAATATTCATTAGCCAACTAAGGCAGCTCCCAGGTGCCAAACGAGCCAGCGAAGCTAGTCAGCTGGGGCCGGTGGTGTGGTGAAGTGGGAATTTTTGTAATATTTTTAGGAAGCCCCAGCGTGCCTCAGTTTCCCCTGTATGCTGCATTGTTACCTAGTTTGGCGGGGGGCGGGGACTGGTCTGTCCGCTCTCAGCAGAGGACACGGATGTGAATGGCTCCTAGCTGTCTGGGGCGTTAGGGCCCATATCAATGGAGTATCTGAGAAGACAATGGCAAATTCAGTCCCCGGGACTTTGAGACCTAGCAACCAAGGACCTTGGAGGGCCCACCCCTCGGCAGGAAGCCAGGCAGTGTTTGCCCAGCGGGGAACAAAGGGTGGGAGGAGTGCAGGGGGTAGTGGCCCGTCTGAACTGGGACAAGGCGAGGTCAGAGGGACAGGGCTCCGGGCTCTAAGCTGACTAGGATGGAGTGGGCTATAACTTTCTTTTCCTCACGCTAACCCAGGACATCTTCTGCTGTGTTCCAGTCACCTAATAAACCCCATTGCATCCCCACGCTCTGTGAGTGCCCCTGCGTCGCTCCCTAAGATCGTACAAGTCTCCCTGGGGCCCATCTCAGTGGGACTCGCTGAGCGGAGCTCACGGGGTGAAGAAGCGATGCTGAAGGCCTGGAGGTCCAGCCCAAGGAGGCAGTGAAGCATGGCTCACCCTGGAGGAAGAACGAGACCCCTAGGGGATCTGGCACTGAAGGGTTCCTCCTGGAGACTGTTCCAAAGCTGGGGCCACAGCTCCAATCCTGCGGCTCTGTGCCTGGTGGCAAGCTCCAGCGGGGTACAGAACTGCCAGGGCAGAGCGCTCCCACTGGTTTCAGTCCCTGGAGGAGTGAGTGCCACTTGCTGCGCTGCATGCAGAGGTCACCAGGAGAACATCAGCCGGGGAGCTCTCTGAACTTCACGCCAGTAAATCGTCCAGGCAACGGCGCCTGCATCATGGAGACAGAGCCGGTTTATCACATCGCCTCCTGCTGGCCACCAGGCTGCGTTTGCTGCCAGCTGGGCTCTGCATTTACTTGGCCGAGACACACACGTGTGCCTGGGTGCTGGGTTGGCGTTCTGCGGAAGATCCTGCTAAGGAGCACTCTTGAGAGGCCTTTGAGACCCGAACCATGAGTCTGACTGGCTTGAGCCTCACGCGCCAGGGGGAGCTTCCCCAAGCTAAAACAAGCCAAGAACAAATCCTGTTTCTGCGTGAGAGGAAGAAGGGTTTGCGGCTGGAGGAGCAGAGGGCTTGTGAACGCAGAGGGTCCTTCTCCCTATTCAAGGAGGCTGCTGGCAACATTGTCCAGCTCAAGTGCAGTAGCTACTGGCGTAGAGTTCATGGAAACTTGGTTAGGGGCTGGATCACTCGGCGATTCCCTGTTCTGTTCACTCCCTCTGAAGCACCTGGCCTTGGAAGTCAGTATCCTGGGCTAGATGGACCAGTGGTCTGACCCAGTCTGGCCGTTATGTTCTTAGGGTCACCGCTGCCTTGGCGTGTCCCCGTAGGATCAATTTTCTGCATCACCCTGCTGTGGCGGAGGGTAGCCTTGTGACACAGCAATGCCCCAAGTGAATTCAGGGCTCCTCCGATGGAGCGTGTCTGGGGCAGGGACATGAAAAGCATGGCTGGAACCCTGACCACTGTGAGGACCATGGGTTCCCCATGGCTTGATTAGGTTTGTGAGTCCATGAACCGTTGTTCCCTGGCAACGTAAAGCTCCTCCAAGTCCAGTATCGCTGCTGCTGAGGATGCAAAGTGACTGCGTCTCGTGGTGTGAAACCCGCATGGACGTGAGCACCGAGGCATGTGCTGTCAGGGGAGAGGGGCGGATGGTTGTGGAAGACACGCCCCATGCCCCTGCAGCCTCTGAGCTGTCCCTTCCTTTGGGGCTCAATTGGACAGGAAGTCGATGGCAGCCCTGACCGTCTTGGAGGTCCTGACGTCCATAGCTGCCACCTTGAGCTCCGTGTCCCCGAACTGCATGCTGGCCCGGATCTCCCGCCGCCGGCTCTTGGGGCCGCTCGGCTCATCCAGCTCGTCCAGCTCCAGGCTGATGGTGCCGCACTTCCTCACCCCCGGGTCGGTGATGTAGACCACGTCGTCCGTGGCGCAGCAGTAGATGTTGATGATGATCTTCCGCTGCCCCACCCTGGCTGGGCAGTAACTCCTCTGTACCACCTCGCCCAGGGCCACTGACTGGTCCACGGAGACAAACTTCTCAAAGATGTCCGTGCACCAGTTCTTCCCCTCCTTCACCAGCAGCTTCTCCTTGGGGTGCTTCCCCTCCACAAATTTGTTGAGTACCCCCACGCCGTAGGTCAGGGGCGAGCGCCTGACCCTGACGATGGTGGGGTCGAGGCCGAAGAGCACCGCCCCTTTGAGGATGGTCAGCCCGACGTCCTGGGGGATGATGACGCGACACAGGCTGCCGAAGGCCGATTGGACGGCGTGCTGGAGCATCGCTGACTCGGCAAAGCCCCCTACCAGGAAGAGGAACTTGATGCCTTTGACGTCTGGCTTCTTCAGGAGGTCGTCTGGGAAAGGAAAAGAGGGTGAAACGGTGAACCTGGCCCTGCTACTGACTGGGTTTGGCTAGGTGGCCATAACGTCTCCATTAACCCCTAGGAAGAGCAGGGGAGCGGCCCGTGAGGGATGGGGGAGGGGGGAGAGTGACTCAAAAGGAGCTGATCCAATAGGGTTTAGCTGGGGAAAGTCCCAGTGAATCCATGGGGTGGGGGTGGGGGTCATGACCCAAAACGAAGCTATGCAGTGGGGGAGGGGGCGCTGGATGGGTTGAAGGGAAGGACCGACTAGGGCCCTCGCCTGGGACCCAGGACTGCAGCGTTCGAGTCCCTGCTCTTACTCAGAGGCCAGAAGGGACCACGGTGCACATCGAGTTTGACCTCCCACGTAACCCCAGCCAGAGTCCTGCCCTGGATTAACGCCTGTTTGAACCAGAGCCTGTCGGTCAGAAAATCACCCTGTTTGGAGTTAAAAATTGCCCCAAAGAAGAATCAACCACGAGCCTTGGGAAATTGTCCTGCGGGCAAGACTCTGGGCGGGTCAGTGTCTCTCTGTGCCTCAGTTTCTCCTCTGGTCAGTGGGGATAAGAGCTCTGCCCTACAGCCAAACCCAGTAAAGACGGTGAAGCTCTCAGAGCCTGTGCCGATGGGGGCTGGATAAGCAGCTAGGCAAAGACCCAGCAGGGAGAGCGGGCAGCAAATTTAGGCGGGCGTTTGCAATGAGCAGACGTCTGTGAAGCTGAGACTCCTGTGCATGTTAGATCGGGTCCCTGGGAGGGCACAAAAGCTAGTGCAATTTTGGGCTGCAGAAGCATAAGAAACGGCCAGCCTGGGTCAGACCAACAGTGGCCAATGCCAGGTGCTTCAGGGAATGAACAGAACCGGGCAATTATTGAGTGATCCATCCTCTGTTGGCCAGTCCCAGCTTCTGGGAGTCTGAGTTTAGGGACACCCAGAACATGGGGCTGCGTCCCTGCCCATCCTGGCTAATAGCCATTGATGGACCTATCCTCCAGGGACTTACCTAGTTCTGTTTTGAACCCAGTTACACTTTTGGCCTTCACAACATCCCCTGGCAAGGAGTTCCACAGGTTGACTGTGCGCTGTGTGAAGAAATACTTCCTTTTCTTTGTTTTAAACCTGCTGCTTATTAATTTCATTGGGTGACCCCTAGTTCTTGTGTTATGAGAAGGAGTAAATAACACTTCCCTATTCACTTTCTCCACACCGGTCATGATTTTATACACCTCAGTCAGATCCCCCCTTAGTTGTCTCTTTTCCAAGCTGAACAGTCCCAGTCTTATTTCTCTCTCCTCATCTGGAAGCTCTTCCATACCCCTCATCGTTTGTGTGCCCTTCCCTGGATAATTCTAACATAGCTTATCTGAGATGGGTCGATCAGAACTGCCCACAGTATTCAAGGTGTGGGCGTCCCATGGCTTTAGCTGGGGACCAGTTACCGGAAAGGCGCACTGATATTTTCTGTCCCTTTCCTAATGACTCCCAACATTCAGTTCGCATTTCTGGCTGCGCTGCCCGTTGAGCGGCTGTTTGAGACCCAACCCTGCTGGCTCCACGAGCTCTCTGGAGTGGTAACAGCTCACCGAGAGCCCAGCCCTGTGTATGGCCAGTTGGGGTTATGGGTTCCAGGGCCCGTTACTTTGCACTTGTCACCACTGAAAATGGCGGCAGGGAGAGGAAAGTCCCTTTCCCGCGGTCCTGCAGCGACGGCACGTCCTGGTCACTTCATTGTCAGATATTGATGCGGTGCAGGCCGGTCAGAGATGAGCAGCTGAAACGCTCCAGGGAGGAGTTAGATCTGTGGAACTGGTGGAGGTGGGGAACAGACCAGGTGACCAGTAGTGGTAGTGGGGCACAGTCTGGCCCCCCCAGTGCTGCGCTGTCTGAGCAGCTCACAGACATTAGCAAATTTCGCCTCACCCCTGTGAGGTAGGTATATCACCAGCCCCTGTTTTATAGATGGGGAAACTGAGGCACAGAGAGCTAAGTGAGTGGCCGAAGGTCACCCAGGCGTCTCTGGCAGTGTTGGGATCTGAGCCCTGGTCTCCTGAGTCCCAGCCCAGCCCCTGCACGCCGGAGCCCGTCTTTCCTTCCCCAGTCGTTGCTGAGAAGAAACGAAGAGAGAAGCCCAGTGAGGCTCTGGCAGGGCCATTAAACCACCTGCTTCAGCCAATCTCTATCAGCGAGTCAGCGGAGACCTAACAGGGGCAGCAGGGCTCTGACATCGGCCCCTGGCAGAGACGGGAACCTGGGCCTAGGGGATGACCCCGTCTGGCCACGTCTCTGTTCTAGGCCGACCCCCAGGCCCGCTCAGGCTGTGGAACGGCTCCAAGTAATGACCAGAGCCACCGGCGAGTGTCTGAACCTGCTGGCACACATGACGCAGAGCGACTGCACCGGGCACGGGATGGACCCGGGGAACGGGAGCCAAGGACCTACCTAGGTACTGTCCACCTCCCCTAGCCCCGACCCTCCTCGGGGCTCACCCCCTCCAGCGAGGGGGGCAAGCCGTGGTTGGAGCCCAGGAGACAATGCTGGTGTGTGGACACGGGCTAAGGCACAGCTAGGTGGGAAAGGCTGGAACAAGGGAGCCCAGGTTCATGGCTCTGCCCCTCGCTCAGCAAGGGGGGGCTCCTCTCTCCCCAGGCTGGCTCAGGCCCCACGGTAAGGGAAGTAACAGGACTGGGGGCTCAGCCAGGGTCCCTTCACTCGGCCCTACCGATGTGCCGGATGATCTGGCTGACGGTCGGCTGGAAGAGGTCGTTCATGGCTTCCGACGACATTCGCAGCATCCCCTGCGAGGACCACTTCACAAAGTTCACGCTGGGGGCACAAGAGCGGAGGGGAGTGACTCTCCTGGGCTCCCACACGCAGGGCCAACCAGTGCCCCGCCCCCCAGGGGCTGCCCGCTCTCACGCCTGCCACAGAGAGCAATGGGAAGGGGGCTGTGTCCTCCTGCGCCCTGCCCCCATCACCTTCCCCCCGCCATGGGCAGCCAGGACTGCATGGGTAGCAAGATCAGAACATGCATTCTGCCCCTAAAAGCCCAGATCAGTCCCCCGCGCGGCCCATCAGCTCAGTGCAGCTTGGCCCTGCCTTGGTGCATCTCCACCTCCACTCTGCCAGCTCTGGGCCACCTGCCCCTGGGCCACGCCTGGCCACAGCCTCTGCATCATGCCCGACCCCCTGCCAGCCCCTGCCCTTGTGCCCACAAACAGCCAGGTGGGGGAGGCCAAGAAAGGTATCCACACCCCTTCCAAACACCCCACCACCCTGAGTAACTTCCTAGATGCTGAGCCCCCAGGCTGGGCCCAGAGGCATGGCCCTCTGTCGTTAAAGGGAAGGGAATGACCCCATCAGCAGGTACCAGTAGTAGGCTGTTGTCTTCCATGTGAACTAGCCACCAGAGGGGGCTGTGACACATGATCTCATCCTGAGCTCCTGGCCCACCTCCCCCCACACCCCGGGGGGTGCGTACCAAGCACACTGCAGTCCCAGCCAGCCCCCCAAGTCACCTGCTCCGCTTGAGCGCTGTCTCCACGTTCTGGCCCCGGTGCCTGCGGTAGAAGTCAATGAAGGAGAAGGGCAGCGAGACGTTGAGGGGGTTGGAGCGGAAGGGCGCTGCCGCCCTCTTGCGGGCCTCGAAGGCGATGGTCAGGTCCACCCAGGCTGCCGGGCGCTTGGCCTTGAAGGTGGCGATGAAATCCTCCCCGAAGATCTGGCCCAGCAGCATCTCAAAGGCCAGGTCCACCCCCACCGCCCCATAGGGGCCACCTGCAATGCATAGCCACTGTGGAGTTATGGGGTGTGCGCAGAGCGGCTCTGCCCAGGGCAGGAACAGGCCCCCGGGAGTGATGGACACCCTGCTGGGACGGGTCGGGGCTCCCCAGAGGGGGAGATGGCGGCTGAGCTTGTCTGGGTGAAGGCATTTTCTGGTTATGGGACTGATTGAGGTGTGAATAGCACTGGGGGGAGCCAGCTGATAGCAGGGGCAGGGGCTGGCCAAGCGTCACCCCCACAAAGCTCTGCCAGTTCTGACATACAGCCTGCCCCGGTCCTCCAGCCTGCTCCTCCCTCCAGCTCCGGCCCCCACAGCTCTGCCGGTGCCCCTCAATCCTGACTCACAGCCTCCACCTCCACCCGCTATCTCAGCCCTGGGCACCCCCCGAGCTCTGCCGGTGCCCCTCAATCCCAACCCACAACCCCCTGCTAGCCCAGCCCTGGGCACCCATGGGAGCCATGCGGCTAAGGAGCCAGAAGTGGTACCTGGGTCCACCCCAGACACACAGGACCTCCACACAGATGGTGGGGGCTCCCGGTGGTCCCCACATTCACCCAGCTCTTGGGACTCCATGGGCTTTGGGGGTGGGGGGACTCAGTCCGCATCCTGGGGAAGGCTGAAGGGGGAACTCTCCGCGAGGAGCCGTCCCCCCATGGCGCAGCATCCGGGGCTGGGTTCTGTGGGAAGAGGACCTGCTAACTGGTGGACCAGGCCGACGAATGCTCTGTGTGTCCAGCTATCTGGTGGTTACATGCTGCCCCCATCATGCGGGGAGCCGAGCCCCTTCTCCCCAGCCCTCTGCAAAGACTAACCAAGTCATGATCAGCCCCCCCCCCCATGCCCAGTATTATCACTCCCCATCACACACACGGGGAAACTGAGGCGCAGAGCAGCACCTATCCACTGCAGTCAGAAAACAGGGCTGGGGCTAGATCCAGGAACTCCCCAGCTACCAGCCGCCTGTGCAGCCTGCTGGACTCTGCCCCTCGGGCGCCTGGCAGCCAGGGCTTCATTTGTAACGCCAGTGGTGCCGCAGCTCGGCCCGGGGAGCAGCCGCCTCGCGCGAGGCGATGGAAATTAGCTAGCCCTGGGAACAGACAGCAGGGAGCAGCCCGGCCTGCTACCCGCCTGCATGGCCAAGGCTGGAATGAGCCAAAGCGCCAGCAGATGGTGCTCAAAACTAGGTAGCCGCATTTGTGGAAGTGGGAGGCCCAATAAAACCTGCTCGTCTGGGGCTTGCTGGCATCACTCAATAGCTGCTTTTTTTATATATATATTTATAAATAATGGAGATAACCCATCTCCTAGAGCTGGAAGGGACCTTGAAAGGTCATTGAGTCCAGTCCCCTGCCTTCACTAGCAGGACCAAGTACTGATTTTGCCCCAGATTCCTAAGTGGCTCCCTTAAGGATTGAACTCACAACCCTGGGTTTAGCAGGCCAATGCTCAAACCACTGAGCTATCCCTCCCCCACACAAACTGAGATGACCTCAGAACACAAAGCTGTTATTGACAACCTCCTTCCCCTAATCATGATCAGGTGTGTGACAGGCCTGTAGTCTGGGGGGAAAAGGGGGGTCTGGTCTCTGCTCCCGGGCCCTCCCCTCTCAATAACCTCACTGCACAGAACCCTTCTGCCATGCGACTGGGAAATTTTACCACAGCAACCCAGCTTTGTCTCTCACGGGGCTTAACGTGACTCCAGTCCACTGCAATTCATCAGCATCGCTGCCCATCACAGGGACCTCTGCAGGCCCCCAGCAAATCCTCCGGTTGGAAGTCTATAGCTAGTTTCCCTATGGACACCAGATGGTGCTACAGCCCCTCGCTGCACTGAGACGCTGGGCCTGGGAGCGGGGCCGGGGCTGCATGCTGAGGTGCACTGGGGACCGGTCCCTGGGAGACGCTGTCTCCCCAGCTGAACGGGTCGCTCCCGAGGTTTTAGGCCTTGTCTACACTACACGGTTTTAGGCAGACATCATAAAAACACCCCCCTCCCCAAGTGGCGTCGGGCTGATGTCACTGGAGTTAGGGCCAGGCCATGTCTGTGTAGACGCTGTTTTCCTTACATCAGCTGCTGGCTGTCATTCTTGTCAATTTCATGCCATTAAATTGACAAGAAAGCCGGCTCGGGAGCCTGGCTGCCACCTCGGCTCCCGGCTTAGGCTGCTGCCCGGGCTCCCCACAGGGACCCCTGCTGCCCCCCGGGGTCCCTGCTCCCCACCGGGAGCGTGGCAGCTGACCGGACTCCGGGGGCAGATCTCCCCGCAGGAGGCGAGAAGCCCCAGGTGGCTCCCCCTGCTCCTGGCTGGGAGTGGGGAGGAGAGAAGACGGGGGGGGGGGCAGATGGCATTGCATGGAGCAGAGACCCCTGGCTCTCAGCCCCCCACACTGCCCCTCTTCAGTGGGTGGACGTGCTCCTGGTGAGGACACGCACCACCAGCAGGAGGGTCTTGTGGACATCAGCCACCACAGTCGTTAATGCGGTGGCTGTAAGGCGACCTAACATAGGTCGACTTATCTGTGTGGTGTAGCCAGAGACTCACTTTGGCCAGTAGCCTTCTGCGGCTCGGGAACACGCCCGTCAGCGGGGACGCCCAGCGGGCAGGGGACAGCCACCAGGGGAATGGGAACAATCCCGCACTGGCCACTAGGGGGCGGGTGTGGGGTGCTCTAGAGACGTCCGAATCGCCAGGGCTCCTTGGACATGTCCCGCTACCGCAATCCAAGGCCGCGCCCAAGCCCCTCCCCCAGGCCTGAAATTTAGACCCAGCTACGGCCATTGCAGCTCCAGCTCATCCCGGCTAATCACACCCCCTTGGGTCACCCCCCCCCCCCCCACCCACCCCCCCTGCCTTTGCCCACAACACCGGCCTCCATCACCCACCGAGTCAGAGAGGGCAAAGCCAGAAGGGACCACCAGTGCATCCCGTCTGCCCTGCTGTATAGCCCGGGCCAGCGACCCCGCCCAGCACCCGCGCCCTGACCCAGCCACAGGAGTGACCCCAGGGGTGACAGCCCGCAGGAGCCCACGCTAGTGTGTGCCACAGGTGGGACCGAGCGGCACCAGCGCCCGAGGGCACCTCTATGGCAGGGAACTGATTAGGTGAGACATGCCCAGCCGATCCTGGCAACTGACTTGCACCCAGATGCAACAGAGGAAGATGATCCTTCCCCCCCCCGGCATCACTGCCCCCTCTGACCTGGGGGGAAATTCCTTCCCAGCCCCACACGTGGCCATCAGTTAGACCCCCAGCACGTGAGTACGAACCAGCCAGCCAAGCCGCTGAGCGAGCAAGAGGATGTTCGGTGCCAACTCAGCGCCCTCGCCCAGCCTAGCCCATGTCCCATCTCCTGCCGTGGCCATCCCTGATGTTTCAAAGGAGATTAAAAAAAAACCCCTCCCGGAATATACTTGAGGGGGGAGAAATCCCTTCCTGACCCCGGCCTGTGGCCAGCTGAAGCCCTGAAGCATGAGTGTTGGGAACATAGAACGTCACCTGGACGTGAGCCCCAGGGCTGCTGAGCCCTGCCCCCCACCCCCATCACGAGCAACCCGTCAGACAATCACACTCGCATCTGTCCAGCTCTCTTAGAACTAATCCTGTCCTTTGCCTCACAGAGGTGTGTGTGTGTGTGTGTGTGTGTGTGTGTGTGTGTGTGTGTGTGTGTG